TTAATAATAATAGATTGACGCACTCTCATGATCAAGTTTCATAATCTGATAGGCCCGGCATGGCCAGGTGGGTAGGGCGCTCGACTCGCAAGTTGAGGGTCGCGGGTTCGAATCTCCGTCCCACCAAACATGGGGGCGTTATAATGTGACGGTCAATCCCACTATTCGTTGGTAAAAGAGTAGCCCAAGAGTTGGCGGTTGGTAGTGATGACTAGCTGCCTTTCCTCTAGTCTTACACTGCTAAATTAGGGACGGCTAGCGCAGATAGCCCTCGTGTAGCTTTGCGCGAAGTTCAAAACAAACAAACATAATCTGATATGCTAAACTTTCATTTCATATATGATACCAAATGCTGCTATGCTCAGTAGGGTACCCTTCTCTGGAGCACTGTATATTGTATAATTCAATGCATTACGAACATAAGGAAAAGCAACTGATACACTTACTACAGCTAAACGCTTTAATGTTACCAAATAACAGAAATAACACAAAAATTAGCTTAAATGAACACTAACTTGTATATATGTATATAGATGAACACTAACTTGTATATATATATATATATGAACAATAACTTGTATATATATATATGAACAATAACTTGTATATATATATATATATAGATGACACTAATTACCTTATTGAAATGTGTCGAACAGGTAAAATTATTATTTTAACTTCTGAGAAGAAAGAGTTACAGCACGAGAAGTGGGCGTTCTAATCTAGGTTTATTGATCACGGCCTTCACTATGAGGTTATTGTCGTTAATGTGCAGTCAGTCGGGACGCTGAATATAATCTATTAGTTCATTTGTACACTATATATATATATAGGTCAGTGGATTATCGCGTTGATTGTATCTAATTTACCAATGCTCGCAGTCTGGCACGGCAACAAATTGTTTCCCAAGGAGACATGATCTCAATAATATTCGAGATTGTTCTCTTCCAAAAAACGGGATAATAATTTTGAGTATAAAGAAATAAAACTTTCAAATATTAACGATAAATGGTCCTGTTGAAAGTAAATTCGCAAGACGGATAATTTTTATAACGTTATGAGGTTTATACATAAATTCAAATCTCACAGAAGAAAAGCAAAAGTATAAATTCACATCACACATACCTGCAATAGGTATAAAATTGGAGTAAGAAAATTACGGAACTAGCAACCAAAAGAAGTTGGAGATATCCAGTTTCTTCAATTAACTTCCAAATCGCCAGGCCCGGCATGGCCAGGTGATTAGGGCACTCGACTCGTAATATGCGCGAAATTCAAAACAAAACAAACAAATCCAAATCGCCTGTAAGAAATAGTTATGGAGGCAACTGAAGAACAATGATAAAAAGTTGTAAAGCCGGGACACTTAAAACCAAACCGCACCCAGATGACCTGTTAATTTACTTCCATGTCCAGCTGTGAGCCACAATATCCATTACAAAATAAGAAATCTAAAAAAAATAGATTACAAATCTCAAATGTTCTCCACCCTTTAAATGAGATGACGCATCCACCCATCATTCAACAACAGAATATACATATGAATATTGCAATAACATATTGAAACTACACTAACCTATATTAGTTCCTAGGTGGAATAATATTTTCGGTCTTAATATTTTTTTTAATATTTTTAATAAAATTATTCAAGATTCAATGAGATTTTTAAAAATCAACGATCCAAAATTGCCAGATATTCCATCCAGAGTCACTTTCATGTTTCTTCAAAGTATTTTCGTTTATTAAATTTACTTGCCTATATCCGTCCTGTGATGACTTAGCTGTGAGTTTGAGGGCTTATAAAGCTAAAAGTAGGAGTTTCATCCCTGCGATGGGCACACCAGAGATAGTCCACTGTGTAAATTTGTGGTTAAAGATCTACAAACACGCATATCTCTCTGGATAAGCTTCTCAAAGTCTTAAAATGTGCCCTTTAAAAAAAAGTAAATATTCCCCTCCCTTTAATAACATTGATTAAACTTTCTAACGAGAGCTTTCAATTTCGTACTCTCCAGCCCAATGAGAAAATTGCGGAAGTCGATAAAGAATTTACGTAACAAAGTAGAATCGATGAGATGCAAATCACTGATTTGGCGTTTAAGCATAATATGGACAATCAGTGGCAACACTTGCCTTGTTCAACAGCTTCTCGTTACTATGCAACCAAACAGAAAAAGAAAGCTTACATTGGTGCTAGATAGACTTTTGTTTTGCACCATTAGTCACAAGACTGAGTCTAGTTCTTTCAAATTCCATAAAAAAGGACGTTTTAAAATGAATATTTATTTATCATATTCATATTTTTCTATCTACCATTTGCTGAAGAAGAAACACTTTTCTTTATGAAGTACTTGAATGAATGTTTTTTTTTTCTTTTAATTTTATGATGAATTTTATGTATTAGATTTATCTGAGTAATTAGCATATGCATCTGCAGGTACCAGTATATATATATATATATGAATAAACATATACATTTTATTGTAATTGCAACACAGACGTAGTAAATTGGCTGTAATTTAACCGATACTTTATCATCCGTATAAAGCACTGCTTCTGATTATATGAAAATACAGTAATAATGAAAAGCTTCATAAAGATATTCGTGCAATATTTAAAATCGTACATTTATTATGTATCATGAATCGAACATAGCTTCAGTAATACTGTATTGTTGTTCTTGATTCCTGTAATTGTGTAGTTTAACTGAGATCCTGGTAGTTATGAAACTTATAATTATACATATTAAGAACAAAATGCGGCAATTGTAAGCTTTCATTTTACTCATTATTTTCTATTTCATCACTGAATAGCCGGCTTCGTTTACCTTAGTTATAAATGTTACAGTAATAACATAGATTAAAATCTAGACCGCAATATTTAGATAATACAAACTATCAGGCCTCTCAAAGTCTCATTTCGGATCTAATAATGATTAAAACGGGAGATTACGACCAATCAGATCGCAAAACAAACTGTAATGAAAGATCTGATCATGTTTGAACAAACAAAGACAGTAAAACAAAGTAAATGAAAAATGAATAAATGACCTTCTTGTTCAAATAACGTTAATTTCTCCAGCAAATAAGTATTGCTTGTGAATATGTTCGTATGTGAAATTATGATACTACTTTACTAACAATACAAATTCAAAAAAAAAAATGTCTTTAAAGGTTAAGTAGAGATCAAACAAATCAATCCTGAAAATGTGAACTTGTTAAAACACATTTTCACTAAGGGTAACTTATCCGGTAATTATAAGAGTTGTCTTAGGATAAAATATTTATAAGTGTCATGTTTAAAAAGCCTTATCGGTAAACAATGTGGTCGAACTTTATCTTCTGTTCAAGTAAAATGAGATGTTTTATTTTATGAGCTATTAAAATCTATAATGCATCAGTTGTTTCTTTTAGTAAAAACATTTAAATTCAGTTGTATTTTCATCATTATGTTTAGCTTTATAAGGTTCCAAAGATTATATAATTTAATCTATTAATTAATAATTTTCATAGAAGTGTTGATTAAAACATCATGGACTTTAGAGATACATATATTGGCTTCAATACTTCCTTTGTTGGCTTAAGCCTGTGATAACGTTCGAGTTTTATAGACGTTCAGTAAAGAAGAAAACGAATACATAAAACTAACGAAAAATTCAAAATTCCAAAGTTAAAATCGTATTATTTTTTTTTTCCAAAATTTACATTACTCTTTCTGCGGCGTAATTTCAAACAACGGTAAGCTTCGTAGTAACTCTTAAAACTCTCTAACTGTTCATCAATCCATTTCATTTCTAACATTACATGAAACAAAAGTAACGTAAAAGTGGTTGGAGTTATAGAATTTAAGCTTATGAATAAGATACACAGTAATGCGATTTTACAGAACAATCCGTGTACTGACTAAAATTGATAGGGGGTAAAATGGTAAGGCTGCCATTTTAGTAAACAATGATTTCAATTTACTTTGCTCGCCGATTTACTCTAAATAAAGCAAAGAACAACAATCTGCACGATATATGCTCCAGATGACATATCCTCAGAGTCTCACGTAACACGCGAATTCCATTTTCAATAACGTTACTGCTGTCTATGTAAACCGAAAAATTTGTTGTTATTTTCGCTTCAAATGAGTTGCATGTAGCTAACGTTGATTGTGAAGCTTTTTTCCAAGCAGGTTTCATATATTTAAAAATGATTAATGCACGTATATAGACAGCCAATTTTTCTGAACTGTGTAATATACGCGTGTTTCTTGATGTTTTTGCGATGGACTACCTTTTCTTTCTGAATTTAAAAATTATTTGGTCCTATATTGCATGTGCTACGCAGCCCACGCCGTGTTTCTGAACGGTACGCTATATTTAGTCTGTTTTCTAATCGTAGTGTTTTTTTTACTTAATAAATTTCGCATAGTAAAATAATTATATTACTAAAAATGTAGAAAGTAATCACTCTATAATATTAGTGAAAACAATTTTTGGGAAGAGCCGTAACTGTAGTATTTGTGTTAGTCATATTCATTCCGTTTGCAACCTATATTCAACATTAATTAATCACTTTCGTAGACAAAAAAAAAAAAAAACAATACAAAAAACTGTAAAGAACTATTTAGCTGTCCATAGCTAACCGATAATAACTTTTCGTAAGATTATGAATAATCTATGTTTTTTTCTAAGCATTTAATGGTGTTTAGGGAATGGTACCTAATGGCTCAGCGGTAAGTTTTAGGACTTATAGCACTAAAACTCGGGATTTGATTCCTGCGGAGAGAACAGTGGAAGTAGCCTATCATGTAGCTATAATTGAAATATGTTTTATCTTTTATGGTTTGTTTTTTTTGTCTTTTTTTAACTAAGAATGGATAGCGAAAGATTAGTGCACTAATTGTGCTCATCGGGTTTATGTTAGAGATGAAAAAGAAACCAATTTAATTCCTCTTAGTCGCTCCTCATCATCTTACACTGAAGTACGATTAAATACAGTTACTCATGAACGTACCGGCACGTCATTGATATACCACCGCAAAGTTGCCGCAGGTTTCGATTTGGCTGAACTACAATTCACTGAGACAGTATCTCCAATCCTGTACTTTCCATTTTTTCCTGTTATCTTGGGAGCTTCCGCAGGTAGAGCTAAAATACAGTAAACAAAAGTTTAGTGTTAAAACAACAACAACAACAAAAAGCGAAAGAGTTTCTTGAACGATATAAACTACTTATATTCTTGTTTTAGCAGAAGGTGTAGGAAGCATTTTCTGTTTTACACCATAAAAAAATAAGAAAAAAGAATGTAGTAAATATCCTCTTGTGTATCCTGAATTTATTTAATGTTGATCTGATGTGAATATATTAATTAATTGCTGCTTAACCTAGGACACTGTTTTGCTAAATGAGATTTTAACTCATATTCAGTTGTGTACATCAAAAGAGAAACTGTGGCGAAAACTGTTTATTTACAACGAAAAGTGTACGTAATGATACTAATTATTACTTGGAAAGAAATACGTTTACGTCCTGGGACAAAACGGCGTTAATTACAATTTGAAATGAGATGTCTACATGACTTAAATTCTGGTGGGGGCGCTAGTAACAACTTGTAATGAAATGTATGGTTTGTTTGTTTGAAATTTCGCGCAAAGCTACACGAGGGCTATCTGCGCTAGCCGTCCCAATTTAGCAGTGAAAGACTAGAGTGAATGTAGTTAGTAATCACAATAGTGCGATTGACCGTCACATTATAACGCCGCCACGGCTGAAAGGTCGAGCATGTTTAGTGGAATGGGAATTTGAACCCGCGACTCTCAGATTACGAGTCAAGCGCCCTAACCACCTGGCCATACCGGGCCTAACAATTTGCTATCTGTGCTCTGCCCACTATGGTTATCGAAATCCTGTGCCACTGGAGGGGGGGGGGGCAAAATGAATGGAACGCATGACCTGGTACACGGTAGTTTTAAGTGTGATATTAAAGACTATTCTTGCCATAACATTTAAAGCAACTGTGACTGATAATTTAAAACTGCAACTCTTTGAAATCACATTATCACATATATGTATGAGTTGTTGTTTTTTCTCATTTTAATTATATATTTTACGAATGAATTAGACATAATAATAAAAACAGTTTACGTCATGCTGGAATTAGTACTTTGAAAACATAAAAGGAAGATTTTTTGAATTATATATAAATAGTTAAAAACTACTGTTTAAAATGATATTTTTTCTAAGAGTTTGACTGGCACTAGAAATAATATTTTAGATAAACTGGTAGAAGAAACTAACCCTAACGCGATTCTTATAGGCATCTTTTTTCTTTTTTTTTTACAAAATAGATGTATTATGGGTGAGTAAAGTTTAATTAGGGATAAAAACAATGATATAATTAAAGTTTAATTAGAGATAAAACATTGAGATAAGTAAAGTTTAATTAGGGATAAAAACATTGAGGTGAGTAAAGTTTAGTTAGGGATAAAATCATTGAAGTGAGTAAAGTTTAATTAGGGATAAAACATTGAGATGAGTAAAGTTTATTTAGGGATAAAAACATTGAG